CAGCAGGTTTATTTTCAGGGGGTGCAGTCTCCTCGTCCAAACACTTCAGGTTCTGCATGTAATTCTGTTTTGTCAACTTTAAATATTAATCCCTGCTTTATTGATGGTACTAACGCTAGCTATGCAGGCTTCACATCGGGTGAGGGTATTCTTGGTTCTGTTCCACCACCTGTAGTCTGTCAGCTTTGTTTCTCTGCAGGGCACTCTGCGCTTCAATGTCCGTCTCGGTATGCTCCACCATCTGCGCCAGCTTTGTTGACCTCCACTGGGGAGTCAAACTCTGCTTTGTGGTATCCTGACTCTGGAGCTTCGGCTCACATGACCCCTACGGAAGGTATTTTAGTTAATAAATCAATTTATACTGGACCACTCTCTGTTAGTGTTGCTAATGGCTCTACACTTCCCATTGCTAATATTGGAGATGTTCATCTACATTCTTCTAGTCGTCCTCTCACGTTGAAATCTGTTTTTCATGTGCCTCACATTAAATTTAATTTACTATCTATTCAAAAACTTTGTGCTGATAACAACTGTGTCGTAATTTTTGATAAAAATTCCTTTTTTGTTAAGGACAAAATTTCGGGGACGGTCCTTCTGCAAGCTCCTAATCATGGTCATCTCTATCCAGTCAGCCTCAGTCCTCAGCCACCGCTTGCTTTGTCTTCTCTTGTTTCATCTGGCCCCATTTGGCATCGTAGATTAGGCCATTGTGGCACTTCTATTTTACGTACTTTACATAGTCAGCGTCATATTTGTAGTATCTCTACTTTTTCACATGACTGTATTTCTTGCCGATTAGGCAAATCTCAACGTTTACCATTTATGGATGCTAGTCATACTTCTACTGTACCCTTGCAATTAATTCATTCGGATGTTTGGCAATCTCCTGTTTCCTCTAATTTGGGTTTTAAATATTATGTATGCTTTATTGATGATTTCTCTCGCTATACATGGTTGTACCCCATGCGCACGAAGGCAGAAGTTTTTCATCATTTTACAAATTTTAAAGCTTTGGTTGAAAATCTTTTTAATACTAAAATTAAAGTTTTTCAAAGTGATGGAGGGGGTGAATTTGTTAATTTTAATATGCAGCAATTTTTTGCTACTCATGGAATATATTTTCGCAAATCTTGTCCTGACACACCTCAACAAAATGGGGTTGCTGAACGTAAACATCGACATTTGTTAGAACTCACTAGGACTATGCTTATTGAAGCATCTATTCCTAGTCAATTCTGGGTTGATGCAATTTTTACGGCTGCATATATTATTAACCGCTTACCCTCTCCTTTACTTGGCAACTCTTCTCCATATGAAAAACTTTTCCACAGAGTTCCTGATTATGCCTTCATGCGTGTGTTTGGTTGCTCTTGTTTTCCAAATATTTCGGCCTCTTCTGCAAATAAACTCTCAGCCCGTTCTGTTCATTGTGTTTTTATTGGCTATGCATCTGGTTATAAAGGGTACCGTTGTCTTGAACCTAAATCAGGTAGAGTATATGTCAGTCGTCATGTTAGGTTTCTTGAACATAGTTTTCCGTTTACCCTCTTAAATTATTCCTCCTCTGAATCACCTTCCTCTAGTCCTGAAAATTCTCAGTTCACTCTAACTAACACCCTTCGGCCTTCCTCACCAATCTTACTGCCTACAACTCCACCTGTGTATCCAGCCATCCCATGTGTCAACCCATGCCCACCACCCTCGGCCACTCCCTCGGCCAATTCCCACTCAGCCCCAACCTTGGTCCACTCCCAGTCCTCACCTTCAGTCACGGCAACCACTAACCAGCCCATCCCTCCCTCGGCCAACACTCACTTCAGCTCCCAAACCAACCCCTTCACCCCACCCTCGGCCAACACTCAATTCAGCTCTCAGACCAGCCCCTTCACCTCCACAACCAACCAATTCAGTAGCCCACCCCATATACCGTCCTCGGCTGTCACACCTTCTAGTCCTAACAGTTCATCATCTTCTCCTCCCATCACCTCAGTTGGTCCCCGATTTAATGTTCATCCCATGCAAACTCGGGCTAAGTCCGGTATTTTTAAACCAAAAACAATTTTTACGTTAAACACAGTGGTTAGTGCAGCCGATCCGACTTGTTTTTCTGAGGCACAAAAACATTTAGTTTGGCGTGAGGCTATGGCGGATGAATTTAATGCGCTTATTTCCAATAATACCTGGGATTTAGTTCCATTTGATAGCTCTAAAAATGTGGTCGGGTCAAAGTGGATTTACAAAACTAAGTTTCACTCCGATGGGTCTATTGAGCGCCACAAAGCACGTTTGGTTGCTCAAGGGTTTAATCAGCAGGCTGGAGTAGATTTTTCTGAGACTTTTAGTCCTGCCGTTAAACCCACCACTGTTCGTATAGTTCTTACTCTTGCTATTTCTTTTGGGTGGGTTATGCGTCAGTTGGATGTAAAAAATGCATTCCTTCATGGTTATCTTACAGAGGAGGTCTATATGCGTCAACCGCGGGGTTTTGTCCATCCACAGTTTCCTCATCATGTGTGTCGTTTGCGCAAGGCCATATACGGTCTCAAACAGGCCCCGCAGGCGTGGTTTCATCGTTTTAGTAGTTTCTTACTTACTCATAATTTTGTGTGTAGTAAGTCAGATAATTCTCTGTTCATTTACCGTACTGGTCAGTCAGTTATGTATTTATTATTATATGTGGATGATATTATTATTACTGGCAATTCTCCATCTCTTGTGTCTTCTTTTATTACATGTATTGCTTCTCATTTTGCTATGAAAGATCTCGGTGATCTTCATTATTTTTTGGGAGTCCAGGCTGTTCGAAACTCTACAGGAGTTTTCTTGTCTCAACAAAAATATGTTTCTGATCTTCTTCTTCGTTTTCACCTACACACTCTCAAGTCTGTCCGTACCCCTGTCGCCACTCGTACATCTCTCTCTCTCACTGATGGTGAACTCCTTGCTGATGCTACGGAGTATCGAAGTATGGTAGGTGCATTGCAATATTTAACTTTGACAAGACCTGATGTTACTTATGCAGTTCATTTAGTGTCTCAATTTATGCATGCCCCACGCACCACTCACATGCTTGCTGTCAAGCGCATATTTCGCTACTTACAGGGTACCATTGATCATGGCTTATGGCTTCAAAAATCTGCACGCTCCTTGTATCTTTTGGCTTACTCCGATGCTGATTGGGCAGGATGTCCAGACACTTCCCGCTCTACTACGGGTTTTGCTATTTTTCTGGGTCCTAATCTTGTATCTTGGAAATCCAAGAAGCAGCCTACGGTGTCTAAGTCTTTTACAGAGGCAGAATATCGAGCCATAGCATATACAGTACAGGACACGCTTCACATACGTTCGGTCCTATTTGAGCTCGGCTACCCTGTCCGTGATCCAGTGCAGTTATTTTGTGATAATATCTCGGCTTCCTACTTGACTGTTAATCCTGTTCAGCATGCTCGCAGCAAGCATATTCAGATTGATTATCACTTTGTTCGCGAGAGAGTTGCTCTCATGGTGATCTATTGGTGAAGTATGTTCCCACACACTTACAGCTTGCAGATATATTCACTAAAGCTTTATCGAGTCAGCAGTTTAATTTTTTAAAGAACAACCTGCGCGTTGTATCTCCCGCACAGCTTGAGGGGGTGTAATAGTTAATATAAAATAGGAATTCTTGTATCTTTTGGAAACTCTTATTCAGTATAAATATACCTGCCAGGACTCCTATTGGAGTACCTCTTTCCCATTATTTCACACCATCATCATTCACATATGCATATTCATACATTAGGCATACAACTTTAAGAATTCAGAACAAGTCTCAGACTTCATCAATCATCATTCACATATGCATAATCAAACATTAGGCATACAACTTCAAGAATTCAGAACAAGCCTCAGGCTCCATCATCATTCACATATGCATAATCTTACATCAGGCATACAGTTTTAATCATACAGCTTTGACACATTTTCAATACTCAAAGTTCACATTTCAAATATGCACAATTTAGTACTCTGAATTCATATATACAATACTTAGCTAGTGAGGAGTAAGGATTCATATTTCACCACAATTTAGTGACAACATATTATTAAGCATGAACACATCAACATCATCATAGATTCATGGTCACTCGTCAAATGTATAAGGGTATTAAGCTTGAATTACATCATCAACATCATCATTCTATCAATTTATCAAACATTCAAATACAATCATCATCTAGGTTATTTGCTTCCACAAATCCAGAATAGAATTACATATCTGCATCATTTATATGAACCAATTAAACCTTACATGAACACTGTAACACATAACAAATTCACAACAAAATCGTAGTTATAAATACCTCAGAGACGATGCGATAGACTAGAATTAGGACTTAGGGAGTTAGGTTAAGAACTCCCACCAAATAGGGTTTCGAATGATCGAAGAACGATTTCCACCGATTAGGGTTTCAGTGTGACTGTGTGTGTTTCTGTGTGAGAGCTTCCACCAAAATACCAAATAGGACTATAGGAGTCTCAAGTCTCAAGTCTCAACAGTCTCAAGTGTAATTGAAGAAGGAAATCAAAGATCGAGAGAGGAGAGTAAGGTCTGAACAAGTGAAGACTGAAGAGTGAAGACAAAAGAGAGAGGATAGAGGGAAGAGTCGAAGACAGATTGAAGAGGCGGATAGGGTTAGGCTAGTTGAAAGAGGTATAAATGTGTGTGTGTGTGTGTGTAAACCAAAACGGCGTCGTTTTGGTATTTCGGATATTCGGGCGGATAAGGTTCGGGAATTATAAACCCTACCCGCAACCAGGTAACCGCCCAATGCCCACCAAATTTTTGGATATGGGTTTTCGGTTCGGATATCCATATCCAATCGGATATTATCTAGAAAACAAAATTGGGTTTGCCGGTTCGGATCGGGTTTTGCTCAGCCCTACATGCGCATATGACAATTTTTTAAAAAAATTGTTAAATTTTTTTAATTGTGTTATGTTTTTATTACAAAAGGTATGTGAAATTAATTATTTTTTGTGATTTTTCAAATGAAACAAGTCTTGCATATGTAAAATTAATAACAAGGGGTTTGTACTTGGATATTACTAATTTTGAACCAATTGTCCAAAAAGTGACCACTTTTAAAAAGGGGCAAAAAAGTGATCAAGAAAGTCATATATGTGCAATTAGAAAACATAATGTAACTGCAAAAATTTTATGTCACTGCGTGTTCATTTTTTTGTAACTACAGTCACCACTCATGTCAATACAACCACCGCCGTGTCACTGTAGCCACCGCCTGTGTCACTGTAACCACCGCCCGTCTCACTGTAGCCACTGTCCGTGTCACTGCCGCCACCGCCCGTGTCACTGCCGCCACCGCCCGTGTCACTGCCGCCACCGCCCGTGTCACTGCCGCCACCGCCCGTGTCACTACCGCCACCGCCCGTGTCACTGCCGCCACCGCCCGTGTCACTGCGACTACCATCCGAGTCACTGTAGCGGAAAATATGCACTGTGCAGCCTGAAAATTTTCCGGCAACTTTTTCCATCAAAGTTTTCGCCGGAAACCGTCGCCCCCATAGCGCTGCCATCACGTAAGACCACCAACGGTCCTTTACCCCTGCCCCAGCCCCCCCCCCCCCCCTCCACTGCTGCCCCAGCCCCCCTGCACCCCAGCCCCTCCACAACCCCCTTCCCTGCACCCCATCCCTCCCCTGCACCCCAGCCCCCTCCCCTTCACCCCCACCCCATCCCCTGCACCCCAGTCCCCTTCCCCTGCTCTCTGCGACTCGCAAGCTCGCAGCAGCCCCCAGCAACCACCACCGGCCACCAGACGTCCCACCTCCACCCACCGCTGGCGACCACCAAATCCCACAACTGCAGTTAACCTGCCGCCGCCACTCACCAGCCTCCTCTCCATTCCCCACCCCTGTCAGCCCGCTGCCCCGGCGACCGGCAAACGCCGCCGCCCTAAACAGTAAACCTCACTAGCCCCCTCTCCAACCCTCCTCAGCTCCGAGCCACAACCGGATCCGCCCCAAGAACCACCGCCCTCTTGCCCCAGCCCCTTAGCCCCTATGAAACTCGCTTTATCCCCAACAACCACCACTCCACCCCATCTCAGGACCATTAGCTATCACAGATCTGAAATCGATTACAGATATGAAGCTAATGAACATACACGGTGAAGAGAAGCAGCGAAGAAGAAGATAAAGCTGGCATCTCCGTCGCAGACGGTCGCCGTCGCCGATTGTCGCCGTCGTACTGGTGGTCTCCGTCTTCTTCGATGGCGTCGCACCAGTGGTCTCCGTCAGCTTCGATGACGTCGCGTGGTGGACTCATGGTGGATGATGAAGGTGAGAAGCAGGGACGACCTTATGCGAGAAGCTTGTTGATAACCTCCATGGATGTCCTGGTGCGAGGAAGTGATGAGCGAAGAAGAGCTGTAGAAGACATCTGGATCCTTCCCAGAAGGATTATTAGAAGAGGTCAACTCACTTTTTAGTCAAATTTTAAATTGGTCATAATTTTGCCCTTTAAAACCTTACGGGTAATGTCTCTGCCATTAATTCTAATAACAATCTGGTTTTTTCGAAAACAATAACAATCTTGTTAAAAACTACTAGTATAAAAATAGATAATTAGTAGTTATAAATACTACTAGTATGTAAAATTTACATACGCAATATTAGTGTCATATGAAAAACATAAATAATGATACTTTTTTTAGTAAAAATGGAACATTAAATAAAAACGTTATACACATTCCATGTCACCTAAATAAAAATAAAAAATATTGTTGGAAAGGTTATAGTTGCAGTTCAAAACCATTGGGATTTTTATTTTATGCACTGGAAACAACCGTTTCTACATCATTTTAAATAATTTTCATGAATAATAATTTTCATAAATAATGAAGAATATACTATTTATATATATATACTTCCCGGATTTAATATATAATATAGATATTAGAAAATATTACATAATACAGTAGTTAAAAATAAATAATAATGCTAAATAATATAGACGAATGAGTAAGACGATAACCAAAATAAAGAAATACATAATGATCAGAATTAAAAGGGGCTTTATAGATCAGAAACATCGAACAAAAATACCTAAAGTGTCTTATACTTTCCCGGATTATATTGTATTAAATTATTTATCACTTTTTTATTTTTAGAATTTAAATAAATAAATCTAAAAAGCAGTTATTATACACTTTCATAAAGTATGAATTATATAATATTGTTAAAGTAACGAAAACAACCTCCGATCCCCATTTTTGTTAAAGTGTATATTAAACTCATTAGTCATTACAACCACTAAAAAACCATCGTTTCATAACAATCATTATTAAAATGATACACGATGGAATACAAATACAACTACATATAAAAGTCTTTGGTAATAATCAAATTCGAAACAATGACACAGATATTACTCCTAGACTTCTTTTAGACAAAAATATGAATAAATTTTTATTTGAGAAAAAAGTGACCGGCTAAAATATCTCTCTGGCTTCCGTTTTCTTTCGCGTGCTTTCAACATCTCGTTGGCCTTCCGCTTCTTTCTTCCTGCGCTCAAGGACATGGAATTCCTTTAGGGATGTAGCAACGCATCGACGCAAACATGGATTTCCTCTGCGGACAAAGCATCTGGACAGCAAACAGATCGCCACCGCCGCCGCTTTGGTCTTCGTCGTCCTCGCCCAGGCGGCATCACTATCACTTCCCTCTGCAAACATAGTAGACAGATCGTTGTCGTCACCTCCATCCTCTCCCTGTTCAGATCCGCGATTTCAGTCCCAGGGCAGCAAAAATGGGCTGGCAGCCAGGGGCGTAGCCAGGACACTGGGCTATACTGGGCCGGTGCAAAGAATATTATTGGAAAAAAATTTACACGAAATTTTTTACACTAAAAATATTGACATTTTTCAAATTTGGGGTGGGCCAGGGCCTAGCCTGGGCACCCCCTAGCTCCGCCCCTGCTGGCAGCTAGAGTAAATGGTGGAGGTTGTGGGATGGCGGTTGGGGGCTAGGGTTGGGGGCTGAGGGCTGGGGCAGGTTCGGTGGTGTGGGGCAGGACTGATGGGGATGGGACAGGGCTTGTGGGGGTGGGGCAAAGTTGGAGTGATGAGTGCAGGGATAGGGTGATGACTGATGAGGTCTGGGCTGGGGTGAGTGGCTATAGTGACACAGGCAGTGGTTACAATGACATTGGCAACGGCTACAGTGACATTGGCGACGGCTATAGTGGCACGAGCGGTGGCTACAGTGACACCAGTGGTGACGACAGTGACATTTGATAGTGACGTTTAAATTAGACATTGACACAAAAAACCTAGCACTGACATAAAATTTGACAGTGACATACTCCCTCCATCCTGTTAGAAGGTTCTCACTTTCCTTTTTTGGATGTCCCATTAGAAGGTTCTCATTTCCATTTTAGAAAACAATTAACAATCTTAAGTGACAAATTAGTCATTAAATATTAAAAATTTATAACATCACAGTTATCAATACTAACACATTATAATATATACCTATTAAAATTATTTCTCAAAATATACCCGAAGTACTTTATTTAATTATCACTTAAATAACTGTGTCATTTTGCTATGGGAACCTTCCAACGGGACAGAGGTAGTAATATTTTTCCAATTCTATTACCATCTTCTTAGTCACATTTTTGTTCTTTTGTAGAAATGGTCAAATTTTTTTAAATTAACTTTATTTTAGTAATATTCAAGTAAAAAGTCCATCAAATTCGGTACATGTAATGTAATGATCATACGGAGTACTGAGTACATCGTATAATCATTGTGAAATAAATGTAAGAGCACACATAAAATTGTGATATAGAGCACTATATACCTGTTTTTTATACGTAGTACTACCTTTGTCTTACTAATATTGGGACCTGAGAATATGACACAGTTATTAAGAAAAGTGAGTTTATGTAGTTTATATTGAATTGATAAAATAAGAATTATTTAAAAATACACAAATTTTATCAAATTTGGTATGAGACAATTTTAGTAGAACGAATCAAAACAGAAAGATAAAATATTATTAGCGGAACGGAGAGAGTAATACTTTAAACAAGTATTGCAATTTTATCGTTAGATTATATTCGGGAATGTATTACTCCCTCATCTGTCCCTTATAACTTTGTCAACTTTCCTTTTTGGGATGTTCCAATAACTTTGTCATTTTTTCATTTAAATAAAGAATTTGTTGTTCCAGTTAATTCTATCTCCTCTGTACAAATCTCAATCATACAGTTTTTACTTTATTAATCCCTGTGATGTTCAAACTTGGCAAAGTTATTAGGACGGAGGGTGTATTAGTGAAATTGGCAGAAAAAGAATCACCACATTACACTTGGTGGGTTATACTCAACATCTTCGGTCGAACTCGAAAACAAAGGGTAGACTTTTAGGCATGCATGTCAAATCAACCTCATGCATGCGATGCCGGGCCACCGGACATGTTAATTGAAGGAAGCAAAAGCCAAGCTGAGTTTGCAGCTTTTTGTTTCTTACACTCCAACTCATAAAGCAAAAGGCTGGTCTGTAGCCTCACCAAAAATGTTCATCCAGTAGAGCATTTCCAACAGTCGATTTGCATGGATCTTTTATACTCCCTTCACTTATGCTGCTTCCTCTCTCTTTGTTTCTTTGGCACATTAGGCTATCCCAGTGGCGGATTTACTATGGGGGCAGTGGGGGCAGCTGCCCCCTCTCAACCCCCACCCTACCCCTAAATATATATATTTAATTTACAATTATATTTATATTTATATGCTAAATATACACATTATATACTGTAAGCACGAAGTTATGACCCAAAAGTGTGTTTGGCCTAGCGGATACGGTGTCAATGTGTGTGTACTTGACCCCAGTACCAGGAGTTCGAAACCCATCTCCATCCTTTTTTCCATTCCTTTTCTTTTATATCCTCTTTCATTCCTATTCTTTTAAGTGATTTTACATAATTCTATCAATTTTTCTCAAATTTCAAAGATTCAATTACTTCATTACAATTTTTGTTTACCATACTTTCTTTGTTCTTTTTTAATTGTACCGATTCACTTTTCATGTTTGTCAATGCACAAGTTTGACCATTAATATCTTTCATTCCTTATTAATAAAAAAATTAAAAAAAAAACTAATTTTGATAATTTAAAATGAGAGAAATTAACAATATTTTTCAAAAAATTAATTTGTTATAAATTAATAAATAAAATGTAATCAAAGTAAAATATGTGAACAGTGCAAAATCACCAACATTACAACTAAAAGAGAACGAATGTATTATAATTTGTGATTTTGCAATTACATTTTTATACTAAATAGAAACTTATTTTTAGATATAATTTTGCATTCAAATTTTACATCAATACTAAATACAAACAATATTTGTCCCTTATTCAACTCATCTATTTTTCTAACATATTTTAGAAAATTTAAAACTTTATGACTAATTTATTTATACCCAACTTCACAAAAAAAAAAAAATCTTATTGTATTCAACTGAATGTGACATGATTAGTAGAATATGTGAAGTAAATTCGCCCCCACTCACACTAAATCCTGGATACGCCACTGGGCTATCCCATAGAGTTTAAGAGTAAGATACTGGTAGCAATAGTTTATAAATGGAAACTTTCTTCACGCACGTTTTTCGTATACAGGCCCTAAATTCTCAAATAAATTTAATAGTCATGAAATAATGCAATTAATAAACTACACGTAGCAATTGTGGAATAATGAAACATGTTACCAGTTTCGGAGTCAAAACATAATACTACCTCCGTCCCAAAAAGAGTTGCAAATTTGACTTTTCTTAGTCTAATAGTCTGGTTTTGTTCACTTAATTAGGATGTCAATTTTTTATTATTTTCTAATTTGGAGTTTACAACTTTGAAGATATTTTAATGTGGTTTTTGAATATGTAAATTTGAATTATTAAAAATTGAATTAACTATCCATAGAGAGGGTTGACTTTTATTATTGGTTGACCAAAAAATGTTGACTTTGCAAAACAAATTGGGACGGGGGGAGTATTTATAATAATTTAAGAGAATAAATGTCAATTACACTCCTCAATCTGTGTGAAAGATACAATGTGTAGCTAGGTTGTCTTTTTTTTTAAATGAAAACTAGCCATAATATATTAATTCAAACAGTCATTAGCCAAATGGCTTTGAATACAATTAGGTGCATTAGTAAAAAATAAAACTCCATCCGGCTTAGAAAGTGCTTCCCTAGCTAATGTATGGGCTGCCCTATTCGCGGATCTCTTGCAATGCTTGACTTCAATACTTGTTCCGTTAAGGATATTGTATCTAATATCCTCAATCACGACATCCAAATAAGAATTTCCTTCATTGCTCAGTAGCCTCGAAGCTACTACTAAAGAATCTGTTTCCAAAATCACCTGTGACCATCCCTGTTCTTTGACCCAACTCAATACCTCTCGGACACC